GTGTGGAAACACCTCCAAAAAGCTGTGAGAGAGAGCTCCAATCTGGCCGAGATAGTGCTGAGGACTGCCAGGAAACCCCAGAGCACCCGGGGCTTCCAGGTGGAGTAAGTGCTTATTGCCCTCGGTAAAGTGGGGACTGGAATATGTAGGGCAAGAACAGAAAAAGAAGGGAATTATTTTAAAACATACCTATAAATACATAAAATAACTGCTTTTTCTGTTTTAGAGATATATATGCAGATTACCATTACAGTTTCATAAAATAAGTTAAATAATTTGAACTCTGTAAACACCTCTTAAAATAGCAAAGAAATGGAATGATCGTTATAGAATCTTTATTTTTCATTCAAGTTTAAAGACAGATGATGTAAAATGCCAGAGCTGAGTTGGTCTGTGTCAATTAAAAAAAAAAAAGTATAAATTTCCAGGTACACAGAATAAATACTTCTGAGGACACTGGGGAAAAAGCCTTCTGAAGATTTCACTCTCCCTACTTCTGCATTCTGAGTGTCCCTCATGCAAGTTTAATTTATGCAGTGATGGATATCCTGAGAGATGGAAGGTGTATTATAGACATGAAGATAAAATAATCCCTAGGTGAGAAGAACCAGTTTGGTCTCAATAACACTGTACTCAACACTGCAGGTAAAATCAATTTTATTAACTTTGCTAGTTAGCATAAATATAACCCTTCTGATTAAAATACTAGTTTTTCAGAGGATCAGACTCTCCTTACCTGGTAATAATCCAATACAATTTAATGATAGTGTTCCTGAGCAAGGAAAATTATCTCTTTCTGTACTCTCTTTCAGAGCTGAGCTGCAACTCTCTGACCTAAGCTTTTGTGTTCTTGCCATCCGGACTGTCCTGAACCAAAGGCCAGGTCATATTAAGTTTCTTTCTTCAGCTTTCCATCAAGGAGACACCGAGCACCACGACCATGAAATATGTGGGATTGTGGGGCCTTTCAAATGAGACCACGGAAACTCAGCTCCTGCTCAGCAGTGACTTGAAACAACCTCATCCGATAAAATGCTAAATCACTCTGGTAAAGCTCCTGAAATCCCATTCCTTGAGACATCAGTGCTGAGTTATGGGGTACAGCAGCTTGCCAAGATGGACCAGGCTCTCAGGGCACCATTTTGAGCCCTCTTGCCCTACTCCCACTGCAGGCTAATTTGTGGCATTTCCTGAGATGCTTCCAGAGAACTCTCAGGAGCAAAGGACGCAAGAATTGCAAGGCTCCATCCATCTTTTGGCAAACACAGTGGGAAAAGCCTGCACGGTCTTTACAAAAGTAGGATCAGTTTTCTGGAAACCACAAAGGGTTTGCGTCTGGTAGACTCCCAAATTTTGGCCTTGTGGTTCAAAACCAGTTTTTGCAATAATTCAATACATAGCCCTACAGCACAGGGTAAGATCCCAGCCCTCCACAGACTCAGCTGTTCTGCACAGGGGGCTGAAAACACCCTATTTGCTCTTAGCCCACCAGCCCTGACTGCCTCACTCCCTGCAAGATGCGTCTGAACTCAAAGCAGAAATCCATAAAGATTCTTTCCTGTGGAATGCAAGTGCTGCAGACATAAGCAGGACTATTTGTGCTTGAGGCAGAAACTTCTTGAAACAAACCACACTGCTGCTTCAACTAACCCCACCAAAATTCACAGACTTCTGCCCCAAGGAGAGAACATGAGGGAGAAGAGATGCAGATGGCAACAATCAATCTCCTCACTCAACAAGCTACCCAAAAAGTCCTTTGAGATAGCAGCAGTAAGGGCAAAACAAGACTCCACACAAATCAGAATAGATGTGGGCATACTTGTCTGTGTATATTTAAAATAAATCTCTTCTTTTTATACTCTTTGTTCAACTACATTATCAAAAAGAGGTTTTAAATACAAGCTTAAGGGACTACTAAAGAGGTGAATTTATGAATGTATTCCTAACAAAACACACTCTGGAAAGCTTTAATCTATGAATTGTGACAAGCTTGGACAAAATGGATTTTTAATAGAATATAATGTAAACTGCCTGAAACACTGTGATAAGGAATTTTTTTTTAAGTAATGCACAGAATAGGCATGATGCACTCTGCATGAAAGGAGGAAAGGTCTTAATTTAAAGCATTTTAATGGACACTCAATTTGCGTAGGGAAATGTGAGAAATGGAGATGAAAAACTCAGGATAGAGATAACACTGCAGAGGGGAGAAGGAGAAAGATTAGAAAAGTAAGCAAATTTGAAAATGCTCCAGCTGATAACCGTGGCTGAAAGGAATGCAGACTGGATGAGGAACATGTCACAGCCCAGAGCCACTGTTCTCCTGGCAGGCAGTGTCTGTCAGCGGCTCTTATCAGAGTCAAACACTGGGGAAGAAAGCACAACCCAAGAGCAAGGCAGGGGAGAACAGACCTGGGGAGGGGGGCAGGGCAGTAGGGAGGGTCAGGGATTTCAGCAAACACAGCTGTGACTCGCTGGAGTTTCTCGATTTCACCGGAGCTCCTGGAGCTGTCCCTCTTCCCAGAGCCCAAGGGAGGCTCAAAACCACCACAAATGTGGCTCATTCTTTACTCGGAAAAAAGCTAAGCCAGGCTCAGTCCTGGCTTACCCACTACTCTACTGCCAGCATAACGCTGGGCAAGTCAGCAGAACTGAAATTACTTCCAAGAGACAAAACCCCATCTCCCCCGAGGTAGATGCGATTCTGTTTACTAATAGCCACTGCTCTGCATCCAAAGAGATCGATCCTGCTCTCTCACACATAAACTGCCTTTAATGAAGCTCCTTGATCTACTAAAAGGAGGAACAGATGAATCAGGTCTAGTGACAGTTTTGCCACGTTGACCTTGATAGAAGGAAGCTCAGGTCTCTGCTCATTTAAATGAGACAGAAGAATTTCCACACAAACACTTAACATCCTTCAAAAGAAACAGGAGGGCCACCATTATGACCAAAAAGGCAAATTAAAGTAGAGATCAAAGTTAAATATTTACTCTAAGTACTACAATATTTGCAAATCTAGAAATGATCTTTCAGCAGTTTCTATTTGCAAACTTTAATTAATCCAAAAATATTAAACTAATCTCACAAAGGAAAGGGTCAAAGTATTAATTAACTTGAGATTCATTGCTTTTGTGCAATTTAACAGTTCAACACAAAGCAAAACCCAGTTTTAATAAAAACTAAGTTACTGTGACAGGTATAATTTCATGGATTAGTGAAACCACATAGAAGGCAATAAGCTTCAGCCTTCACGCAATTTTTTTGTCTAGCTTTCAAAACAGTTGTTTCAATTTCTGTAACACCAAACGATGTGAAGTCTTCCTTTAACCTCTGCGTTTCACTTTCCAACTGATGGCTGTCCACCTTGCTCCAAACAGAACAGAGGTCACAGTTGTTTGAGAAAAAAATCCCCACTGCAAAGTTGAGCAGAGATCAGACCCTGCCCAGACACCCTGATCATCCCCCGGATGGGCCTTCACTGCTGGAGCCTCCATGTGTCACTGAGCAGCTCCAGGACAAGCACAGAGATCCCCTCCAGGCCATTCCCCTGTGGTTGAGCTCTTACCCCACCAAAGGGACTCACTGGCTTCTTCAGCATCTTTTGGAGGAGTTGGGACTTCTTCCCAAAAGGCAGAGGACTTGGAAACAAAGCATACAGTGCCAAATCCAGCTGCCAGAGCTCTGCTTTATCAGTACAGTAGCCCAGGAAAACAAGGATGGATGGTGGCTAGAATTTCCTGCATCACAACCTCAGAATTACAATGGACAAATGTGCTTGGGAAACAGGAGGGGTCTTCCCGGCCCCCCCCTCCATGTTTTTTTTGTTGTTGTTTTGCTTTTTATATAACTGAGAAGAAGTGCATGAAAGAGCTGATGAACTGAAAGCCTTGCCTGGAATTCATGCCAGAAGGCTCTGTAGCACCTCACCAGAGACACTGAGTGGGGAATCACCTCCCCTCACTTCACGGGTTTACAAGGCAAATGTCTGCGTCCCACTCAGTCGCCTCCACTCTGCATCGGCCCTGGAGAGGAACAGGCTCTTCTCCTTGCTATTCATCAGGCCTGTTTTACACATCCAAGAGGACTCTCACCTCAGCAGTGCCTGTTGCTCAAAAGTAAACTCACATTAAATAACTTTCCCCTCAACACTTTTATGGCAGGTATACCCAGGGCTGGATGGGATTTGTTTGCTCCTCAAATACAGCTGCAGAAATTAAGCAGAGCAGAAACTCTCTTTGCAGTGCAAAAACTCTGACAACAATCCTCCTAGATCCAAACAGTTGCTAGCAACCACTTTTTCTCCCTCACAGGAGTTTTCAGAAAAAAAGGGGATGGATGCAAAAGACTCCGCAAATAAAAATTTTGACACGAAGTTTTGTGATTTCCTAATTATTATACAATTTCTAGCTAAATTTATGCGCAGTGTACTTTAACTGCATGAAAACGGAGAGAAATTGCTCGTTTTGTAAAATACGTAACTCTGACTAACAATGTAAATTTCTCCTTACCTTTGATACAGCCCGTGGGAGCATTACCATAACAAAGTACACAGCATTCAGCAGAGTTCATTGACACTCGGGTGTTTTGCAGCAATAATGAGTAAAACTGAGTAGCTGTTACTTTCATAGATTTTCAGATAAAGAAGGCAGCATTGTCCTATATTGCTTTCAATTGTTCTTCATATTTCTCCATTTTAGTTCATTTTTTTCCTGTTGGCCCTTTGGCAGCAGGAATTCTGCTGCCCTGAAGGTTCACGAACAGCGAATGTGAGCTAAGGACTAATGGGCTGCCTCCAATTTAATTAGATAATCTACTCCCGAAGCTCAGAAGTGAAACAAAGGGAAAAATCCCTCATCAGATCACATCTAGCTTTTTCAAGGAGGCTGAGGAGGAAAAAATGCTGCTAATAAGAGCAGTATGGCTCACTACAGAAGCTTTTGTACATCTCTCACAGCACTTCAGCAAGAGTTATTGCAGGAAAGCCTGTGGTGCCTCACCTGTCCTCTGCTCCTGGGTCGTTGTGCACGCAGGTGACGGTGGCCGTGGTCCTCGCACTGTCGGTCTCCTCCTGAACCCCCCACTGGTCGGCATCGCTCACTCTGATGTCCGTGATCTTCACACCTGGGGCTGTCCTGATTCTGTTGGGGAACAACAGGCACTGCTTTAGTTTACAGATCTCCTACAAATCAACCCAGAGAGGTAAACAAGGGAGAGCTGAAGGGAAATACTCCCTCCCCCGTCAACAACACACTGATACGCTGCGACCACGAGTCACTCTGCCTTAAAAAGATAAAACAGGTCCAATCATTTTAAAGAGATGAAGTATGAGTTTCATTATGTGCAAAGCCAGTCAACTTTCAGCTTGAGCAATGTGGAGAGATTAAGAACTGTTTCTACATCAGTGGCACCAGTCTGATACAAATGAAGCAGATGTGACTAAGCATAAGTTGATTTAATTTGCTGTGTCTGTCCTGCAGTTAAAGATGGAGAATAAAAGGACCGTGATATAAAATACATCCTCCTGCCAGCAAACCTTTGGGAGCAAGGTGTCTTCAAATATTAGGGCGGTCTGCATGAAAAAAATGTGTTTCACTGATCAAAAACCATCATGCAGGAAGGAGTGAAAGGGAATAAGTTATTCCAGATCTAGGACTGAGGGATGAAAATATTAATGCCATTGCATCAGGATCTATCAAACAGGGCATATCAAACTCTTTCTGCTCTAAATAATCTGATGCTGACATGGAGAACCTTGATTTCCTGAGAATGGTGAGAGTCTGAAATCAGTTTGGTAGCTGGTAAATATCACCATTTTTTGGCTTAAGAAAAAAATTGCCAAAAAAAAATAAAAAGTCCATGCTCCAGCAGGGCTCAGCGCTAGGAACAGATTGCCAAGGAATAGGAAACAAACTGCTTTTAATAGCAGGGACTTCATTTGTGCAGCTTGACTCCTGAAACAAGCCTGGGATTTCGACAGGAGTGCAGCAAATATGCCTAGAGAACAATTAGGCAGAAAGCAACTGCTGCAGAGCCACGTTTGCCACTACTGTGACTTAATTAATTAAAAGCAAAGCCAACAGGGACCTCTTAGTTGTATGGTGGAATGAAACAGCTCTGCTGAGACCTGAAGCGTTACTTAACAGTGAATTGTGATGGATTTGCCCTGATGCCTCGTGGCCACTTGGTGCTCATGTCACACTATTAAGAATTTCCTTTAAGTTCTAGCTGAGTTCATGGATTTGGATCAAAGTAACTTCAGGACTCAATGGGTGGTCTTTTCCCCTGAGAAGGAATTAATTCATCCTGTTTTTATGGTGCCCTTATTTCTGCCTGTAAGGCTTTACTGACCTGACGGATCAAATCTGTGCCTGGCATAACCAGTCTGATGAAAAATATTCCCCGTAAAGACAGAATTTTACTTGATATTTTTCTAATTGTCTCCTTGATGCTTCTCCACAGGCATCCATATCTCCACACAGCACACCTCAGAGCTGATGGGTCCCTTTCCTATCATCTCCTCTTCTTTTTTTCAGAGGAACATTCACTTATGCTGTAGTAATTACACTGCACCAAATAATTCCTGCAAGACACCTGCATGGTTTCATTTCAGACTGACTTGTAATTTACATGAGATAGAGAATTAGGCCCTCAGCAATGGATTCAATAATTTTTTTTTCATTAGACCTAGTCAACCATTCTTGAAAAAAATCATTAAGACCAAAATAGAAAAATAATAATAATTTAAAAACCCATCAAACACTTTTTAAAGTTTTTCTTTCTCGGCCAAAATTCTATTTTTTTTAACAAATTTTCCTTCCCATCCCCTCAAGTTCCCGTATTTTTTCTTGACAACATGTCTGGAAACCTCTAACTTGACTTTCCACCCAGGTCAAATCTTGCTTAACTAAGGTTAATTGAAGAGCAGGAGATGCTGGGGACACACACACACACCAGGACAGCTGGATCTCACCCGTGATTTCAGGATTCATCAGCCTTTTTCCATCTGTCAGAAGCTTGTTATGTCCTCCTACACAGCTTTTGCACTACAGATATCTTCACTCTGCAGCATTTACTAACATCTATTCTGAACCAAACCTCAGGTTGGCGTATCCCAACAAGGACGAAGAGCAACACGACACAGTTCCCTGCACACCTGAGCAGGGATAAGCATTCAGGACCCCTCTGCAGCTCCTTTTTCATGGAAGATGAAGCTGCTGCTCCTCTTTACCTCCACCAGCGGTCCTCACAACACAGAGTGCGGGTAAGGATGCAAGAGCCTCAAATATCCACATCTATCCACACACCCAGTTGTTCCAACCTCTTCCAGACACTCTGCACCCCAAAACAATGACTCCCCTCTCAGTCCAACCCCTCAGCTGTGTCCACCTCCCTCAGACAGGAGCTTTGCTGCTTTTTCTCTCGGGTCTGGATGAGATGATGTTCTCCTGTCTGGACATCAGAGGAGGCTCTGCTGGTGCCTGTCCTGTTGACCCACTGCTGGGCTTCACCTGCCGGGCTCTGCCCCTTAACAGGAGGCCTTCTGGTTTCTGGCCACTCTGGTTGTGGGCTGTGCCTACAGCTTTCACTTGCTGCATATCTCCTGCCTCGCTGGGTTAGCATCAAGTGAACATCGAATCCTCTGCTCTCCAGCTACATTTTCCAAAAACGTCTCAGAATGCTGCATTTTAGGAAAAATTCCAGTCTAGTCCCTTGCAATGCATCTGCTCTGGTGGGCTGAGACAAGATGTCATTTTGCATTTTTGGATATCAGCGGAGCCAGGAAGGTTGAAAGAAGGAAGAAACTACATTCAGTTTCTCACTTAGGAAAAGTCAAGGAATTCAAATTAAACCAGCCTACATATGGGAGGTTTGAGCCTACTGTTCCTCAGATAAGTGATTCATATCTTTAAATCTGCCCCCAAACTCCACAGGCACAGAAATCATTGTAAGTTTTGGGGACTGAGGCTTTGCAAAAGAGTAAGAAATTCCTAGCAGAGCTAACATGACTTGGATAAAGGATGGTGAATGGCACGTGTGTGGGCACCACTCCGTGCCAGGCTTCAATTATAAGCTTGGGTGGATTATTTAGTTTTCTTATACCTCCCTTCCCCATATATAAAATACTGGGAAGTGTTGCTCTTCCAGCTCCAAGGAAGCTGTAAGGACAAATGGAATTGCTTGAGAAAAATCCGATGTCCTTTAATTTGCCAGCTGACAAAAATTCTACTATCTCTGGGCTTGAGAACATGGAAATGAAGTATTTCACGGAAGCGTGACCCAAGAAGTAACTGTTACCACTAAGATGGCTTAATTCTTTCGTTTTATAAAAAATATTTGTGAAATGGGGGTGGGGGGAAGGAAAAAGGAAGAAAACATGACAGCCAATTGGAAATTCGGCAAAACTGACATTTCATTTCCATGAAATACTTGCTTTCTGAAAAGCAGAATTTTCAGACTGAAAACCGTCCTGTTAAAAAACCCTTGCCCACCTTTAAAACATCACAAGGTACACGGCATTTTGATAAAGCAATCAGCAGAGATGTGAGACAGAGGATTACTCCAAAGGCAGAACAGGGGGAGCTGCTTCCAATGTAGACTGCAGAGTACATTTGGTAGCCCTGGCAGGACTTTTTCCCCCTGAACAGTATGTCCTCCATTTACTGTAGAATATAAAGACAGAAACATGATAGGCTGAATGCAGTGGGCAAGCAGAGGCATTCCCAGCCTGTCAACTTGGAACAGCCAGGAACTATTTTAAAATGCAATCCCAGCCTGAAATGTTTGCCACCCTATGAATCCAGCCACTCCAAACCTCTCCTCTCAGTTATTACAACAGAAGGAGAGGAGAAGGTACAAGTAATCACCAGAGCTGGAAAGCAACTGAGGGGCTGCAAGAGGGATTTAGGCACCAAGCACTCAGTGGAAGTGGTGCAGGGACTTCCACAGCCTCCCAGTCAATTAACTGCACAATCTGAAAGGTAAATACTTGCTTGCCACACACCCCTTCCCCACTCCTGGCAGCAGTAATTGGGAAGCAAAATCCTGGCAAAAGGAACTTTTAAAATAGAAACAGAAGGAAAAGATATTTAGGAAATAAAACAGGAATGTGCTCACAGCAGATGGGAAATGCTCAAAAATATGAGAAAAAAAGACTTTTTCTGAGCTATTTTAGAATTCTTCTTATTCCCCCATATTCTATTATGGGGGAAAACATGATCTGAGCTAAATTCACTCTCAATGACGTACTAATAATAACAGCCATGATAAATTTCATTTGTAATTTCCAACCATTTCTGTAGTCAGCCCTCCAACTGCATTTTTAGCCCAATTAAAATTAAAATCATTATCCTTCCCCTACAGGAAATCCAAGCTGTAGGCCACTTTAGTCAACTTGCCCAAAATTATACCGTCTCTGCAGAGCCAGGAGGAGGGCAGATTCCCAGGCTTGCACTTCAGCTAGACACCCCTACCCATCTTTAGGACCAAACCAGAGCAGAGCTGAGTAATTTCAAGCCCTCACAGAGCATTTTATGTATTTGAAGAACTGCACAAACAGCAAGCAATTAGTTCTGAACAAGGACCCCGGGGAGTTTCTAGTCAAAATACATGTGGTTTAGGATACATTAAACCAAGCATTATAAATTAAAATAATCACTGAATTCAGGCCTAACATCTGGGGATTTCTGGGGTGTGGGTGAGATGGGCAGTGTTTCTCTACAGGAGGGAATATCAGTATCCCTGTAGAGGTAGAGGGAGGAATGGGAGTTTTGCTGGGAGATAGAAGGAGAAGAGGGTACGTGACTCATAATCACCACATCCAAGCACACTCTGTGACATTTGGGAGGGAGGCACAGACAGTCAGGAGTTCATCACTGCGAGCATATGAAAGCAAAACTTTTGGGAAACTCAGTTAGAGCAGATGAAGGGCTGGGGTGGGACCAGAGCTCCCCCCAGGAGAAGCACCATCCCTCTCTTCTGGGCCTTCCTGAGCTTCCTGGTCAAAATTCTTCACGGCTAGTCCAGAAATATAAGGGCAGTGAGGTGATGCAAAGTCACCCAGAAAATATGTGACAGAACCAGGAATTACAACCAGAACCGCAAAGGAATATTTGGGTGTCTTCACCCTAAACCCACCCAG